GCGTTTCGTTCTCTCGTCTTGCTGGTCCCATCCTTCTGCGTCTCTGCAGATTGTAGCGAGCTTCCCTTTTAATAGAGCAACGTGATTGGGTGCTGTTTCCTGGTGATCTGCCAGCACCTCCAGATGAAACGGAACCCCTGTTTAGTGGCAATTTGGTGGCATTTTTGCTGGAAAACGGCTAGCTCCGTTCAGGACGCGGAACATTGGGACCGTTTTTGCCTGAATTGATCCCCAGTTTTTCAAGGGCTGGGAACGGGTCTAATACGTTACAGCTGGGTATGACAATGGTACAGCGTGGTACTCAACGTGGTACGCCAGCAGGAGCTACATAACCACCCCAGCCACACCAGGCACCAAAATTACTTGCTCCACTTCCTCAGCAAAAAAAGAGCTAATCCTGCGGAGAGGTAGTCCAGCTGAGAGCTAATTTACACACGATCGCTTCCGAGTTGCTCCTGGACGCTGCGATTCGTCTGTGTTGTTATTTGGACTGAAAACGCGTCGGATCAGGAGAAGTAAGCTCTGCAGTGATTGGATGAGAATCGAGGAGGTCGTTGAGTTAGCAACTTACGGATTGTTGAGTCGGCTTCAGCGATCATGGATCAGCATCCACGGTCTCGTTGAATTGGCATCCTAGTTGTGATTGTAAAATTTAGCATCTCAGCATGTCGCTTCAGTGATCCATTGGATTAGCATCGACGCTAGCTCCCAGTGATCATCAGCGTCTTAGTGATCATTAAATCAATCTCCCAGTGACCGGTAAAATTAGGTTGTCAAATTAGCTTTTCAGCATGCTCAGCGGGGGGGGTCATCATGCGGGCCGGTAGCAGCGTGTCGCATCTTGTGGATAAGGCGTGCAGCGAGTATCTGGCGGATCCTGATTGGACCACCAACCTCCAGCTCTGCGACCTCCTCAATGCATCGCCTTCGTAAGCCGACCGTTGATCTGTTTCGATCTGACCGTCGAATTGATTCAATCCGACCGTTGATTCCAGCCGGCCGTTAGATCGTTGCCTGATTGGAACATCAACCTCCTCAGGATTTTCACTTGACCGTGTGATTTATGAGTCCCTTCAACTGATTTCGGGTCGCTGAATTGACCTTTTGAATCAACAGGTGCTTTAGACAAACATTAGTTTCTTAATTCGCGGCACGATTATTCGGCGCCTTGTGATGACAGTTCCCTAGGCTATGCCGTTCTCGTGGGCTTAAGCCTCTTTGTCATGGAACCATTTTTCCGTTCCCTCCCACCCTCCAGCAAAGCGGGTGACGCCATGCCAGCCATTCACAAGGTCACTTTGAGTCTCTCATTAGCTCCCCCCTCCCCCCCCCTCCCTCTCCCCTCTCCCCTCTCCCTCGTACCGCTTTTGCTTCTTTGGATTCGTTCCCTGCCACCCTCCAGCAAGGCGGGAGACGCATGCGAGCCATTCACAAGAAGGTCACCTCGCGCCACGCACAAGTGCAGCTCTCCGCCCTCACTGTACGTTACAGCATGTATCCTGTTCGTACACGTTAGAATCCGCGCAGTGTTCTCTGTCACAATGCAACAGCCCATACTCACCGTTCGTCACCGTGGCACGTTTGCTTTTGAGTCGACTCAAAAGCAGACCCAGGCTCAATGTTCATCACCATGGCACGTTGCAGACCGCAATGAAGAAATGCCGGGAGGCAGGTTATGCTCTGTGGTGCGTTGAAATACAGCTGTTTTCTAACCACCGTAACCCTTTCCCTCCCCCCACCCCCCCTCCCTTTCCCCTCCCACAGCTTTTGGAGACTGTGATGAAGAACTGTGGGGGGGTGGTGCACTCCCAGGTGGCGGAGCGAGGAGTGCTTGCCGTGCTGACCTCTTTGTGTACCCTCATAGTCCCCTTCCGCACTGCTGTCCTGTGCTGTCTGTTTCCCCAACAGCTGCTGGAGACTGTGATGAAGAACTGTGGGGGGTGGTGCATTCTCAGGCGGTGGAGAAAGGAGTGCTTGCTGACGTGGCCAAGATCGCAAGGAAAGGAGGGGTGAGTCCCAAGGAGAGAAATCTTTGGCATAACCAGCTTTAATGAAGCTGTTTTTTCTGGCAACCACCATCGCCTCTTACACCAACAAACATCCGTCTGAGGCACAGCTGTGTCTCGAAACCAGCTTGAAGCTTTTCGAGGCGACTTTTGAGTCGACTCGAAAGTCACCACCACCGTCTCTTGTACCAACAACCAACCGTCTGAGGCGCAGCTGCTGTGTCTCGAAACGAGCTTGGAGCCTTTCCATTGGAGCTTATAACAACTATACCAACAACCGGCTGAGGCACGGCTTCATTATGCTTATGTAGCAACAACAAGCCCCACACCAGCAGGGACAGCCAGGGCTAGAGGGCTCTTTTAAGAGTTGACAGACGCCTCTAAAGACTCTAACCATGCGAGTTCACCCGTCCCTGTGCATACATACCAACCCCCTCTGTGCATACATACCACCCCCTCTGTGCATACATACCAACCCCCTCTGTACATGCATACCTACCCCTCTGTACATGCATACCTACCCCCTCTGTACATGCATACCTACCCCTCTGTACATGCATACCTACCCCCTCTGTACATGCATACCTACCCCCACTCCCCCCCCTCCCTCCCCTTCCCCCGTCCCTCCCCCTCCCGCTTACATACATGCAAACCCCCTGTGTCATCCCAACCCTTTTGAGGCGCCTCAAAATTCCTCCCGCTTACATACATGCCAAACCCCCTGTGTCATCCCAACCCCCCTCTGTACATGCATACCTACCCACCCACCCCTTCCCAACCTCCCTCCCCCTCCCCCCTTACGTGCATGCCAACCCCCTGCGCCATCCCAACCACTCCAGGCTAGTCCAGCAGCGACAGCGAGAGCACGAGGGCTCATTCAGGAATGGTCAGTGGCGTCTATGATTATCGCAGCAGCAACAACACATGCGTGCCTTCCCCCCTGTTCTCCCACCCCATACTACCAGGCTAGTCCAGCAGCGACAGCAAGAGCACGAGGGCTCATCCAGGAATGGGCGGACGTTTTTCCCCCTGGCCCGACTTGCCGGCACACGGAATACTTCCTCACCTACGACGAGCTCAAGGTGAGATTCTTCTATCAAGCGTTGCGTGATTCTGTCAGGGATGTTCCACCGATCAGCATATTGCATGATGGCTAGACGGCTAGAGGTCAGTCCAGGGGTGGGCGGACGTTTTCCCCCCTGGCCCTACTTGCCGGCACACGGAATACTTGCTCACATTCGACGAGCTCAAGGTGTGGTTTCTGGGATTTGCCCTTCTGGAATGCGCCTGCCCTTCTGAAATGCGCCTGCCCTTCTGGAATGCGCCTGCCCTTCTGAAGTGCGCCTGCCCTTCTGGAATGCACCTGCCCTTCTGGAATGCGCCTGCCCTTCTGGAACGCGCCTGCCCTTCTGGAATGCGCCTGCCCTTCTGGAATGCGCCTGCCCTTCTGGAATGCGCCTGCCTTCTGGAACGCGCCTGCCCTTCTGGAATGCGCCTGCCCTTCTGGAATGCGCCTGCCCTTCTGAAACGCTCAAGGTAATCTTTTCCTCTGGGCGCCACCTGCCGGCACTCGGAATACTTGCTCACATTCGACGAGCTCAAGGTGAGATTTCTGGAATTTGCCCTTTTGAAAGGTTCAAGGTGACTTTTCCCCTCCAGGCGCCACCTGCCGGCTCACGGAATACCTCTTCACGTTCGACGAGCTCAAGGTGCGATTTCTGGGATACTCACGCTGACACATGAAAAAAGAATCTGCCCTTCTGAAATGGGGGTAACTTCCCCTCCGGGCTTTACCTTACCACCACCTGGGATGGCACGCAGAGTATTTCCTCACATTCGACGAGTTCAAGGTGTGGGTCTGTCTGTAAAGGGTATGCTGTCATCTTGTTATGCATGTGCATGTGGTATGCGCTTGTGAAGTTTATGGAGGTTTCTAGAAAACCTTTCTTCTCCCACTCCTTCCCCCTGTCTCTCTGTCCCCTCGTACCCCTGTCTCCCTCTTGCTGCCCTCTGCTGCCCTCTGCTGCCCTCTGCTTCCCTCTGCTTCCCTCTGCTTCCCTCTGCTTCCCTCTGCTTCCCTCTGCTTCCCTCTGCTTCCCTCTGCTTCCCTCTGCTTCCCTCTGCTTCCCTATGCTGCCCTCTGCTGCCCTCTGCTTCCCTCTGCTACCGCATTTGGAGATAGTGCCGTCCCCTTCCCGCCCCGCCCTCCTCCCTTGGCCATCAGCCCAACTCCATCCCCATGCCGGCTCCTGAGTATGCAGCAGCCAGCCACACACCCATCCATTCCTTCTCTCAAAACACCCTCCCTATCCCCCTGCGTGCGCCTGTGTCCCTGTCCCTCTGCCCTTTTCTCTCCCTGCAGAGAAATGGCATACCTTTCCCACCCCGCCCCTCCTCCCATCCCCATCATTCCCACTCCATCCCCATGCCGTCTCCTGAGTATGCAGCAGCCAGTCACGGCGTGCCACCTGGCGTGCTCCCCCCGCACTTGCAGCATCCCTCCCAGTCCACCCCTCCTCAGCTCTACAACTCGCCCACGTATGGCAGCCCCATGGGGGGAGCTGCTTATAACGGATCTCCTGCTTATAGCGGAGCTGCTTACAATGGAGCGCGCTCTCCTCTTGCTGCTGGTGGCAGGTCGTTGCCGCAGCAGCCACAGCCCCCTCCCTTGCAGTACCAGCAACCGCAGCAGCAGCAGCAGCAGCAGCAACAGGGTGGGAGTGGATCCCAGGAAGGGGCGAGTGCTAAGCCAATGAGGTGAGAAAAATAGGGAGTGAGAGGGAAGGAGGGAGAGGGAGAGAGCATGTGGAAGGGGAGGTGAGGGAGGGAGGGAAGGGGATGTGGGGGGGAGAACGGGGGGAGAAAGAGGGGGGGGGGGAAGTGCACTGTCATTTCCCTACCCACACTTCTCCAGTCTAGCAGACATCACAATGGGGGTGATTCGGTGGAGGTGCTACCTGGCCTGCTGTCACACTATGTATCCCCCCCACCCTCCCCCTCTCCTCTCCCCACCTCCTCCCCCCTGCCCCTATCCACACCCACCCACCAGTCTAACAGACAACACAACGGGGTTGACCTCGGTGGAGGTGCTATCTGGCGCTGTCAGGCGCATTCAAGGGGATGCCTCTCTCTGCATTAATTTCACCCACGCCCTATTCCATGCGTGAGGAGTCTATTTTTTATGCGCCTCAAAAACAGACTCCCCACGCCCTATTCCGCACCCACACCCACCGGGGGGTGTCGAGCAGACATCACAATGGGGGTGAACTCGGTGGAGGCGCTATCTGATCTGCTGTCACACCCATTTATCCCCCCCCCCATCCCCCCGCTCTCTCCCCCTGCCCGTACCCACAAATCACCAGTCTTGCAGACATCACCATGGGGGTGAATTCGGTGGAGGTGCTATCTGACCTGCTGTCAGCCGCGCCCAAGGACAACCCTGCCTCGGTGCTCGGGGACGAATTGGTGCAACAGCTGGTGGGAGAGTGCCGGGGGCTGGAGGGGCGCCTAGAGGCTACCATCAACTCCACATCGTGAGTGTGTACGACTTCCTTTAAAAGACACTGAGCGTGTAGGTGTTAACTGTGATCTCTGCTGTCAGCTGCACCCAAGGAAGGCCCCAGCTCGGTGCTCGGGGACGAGTTGGTGCAGCAGCTGGTGGGGGAGTGCCGGGGGCTGGAGGGGCGCCTAGCAGCGACAATCAATTCAACGTTGTGAGTCTGCATGGCTCTGCATGGCTTCTGAATGATTGACGTGCTGCCAGTAGGATGACCCTGCCTCTGTGCTCGGGGACGAGTTGGTGCAGCAGCTGGTGGGGGAGTGCTGGTGCTTGGAGGGCCGCCTAGCAGCCAGCCACCAGGCAGCCCGTGCATCCTACCTCCGTGCTTTCCCCCTCCCCATCCCCATGCCCTCCCCATCCCCATCCCCATGCCCATCCCCATCCCCATCCCCATGCCCATCCCCATCCCCATGCCCATCCCCATCCCCATGCCCCTCCCCATCCCCATGCCCCTCCCCATCCCCATGCCCCTCCCCATCCCCATGCCCCTCCCCATCCCCATGCCCATGCCCATGCCCATGCCCATTCCCATGCCCACGCCCATTCCCATGCCCATGCCCATGCACATGCCCATGCCCGTGCCCATGCCCATGCCCATGCCCATCCCCATTCCCTTGCCCATGCCCATCCCATCCCCATCCCCATGCCGATGCCCATGCCAATGCCCATCCCCCTCTCTCATTCTCGAGCTCTCTCTGCAGTGACGAGCAGCTATTGAGGTCGGCTTTAGCGCTCAACGACGAGGTGCAGGCATGCATCAAGCGGCACAGCCAGCTGCAAGGGAACGCCCCATGTAAACCCCTATGCATATCCACCCCACCTTTCCCCACAGTGACGAGCACCTGCTGAGGTCGGCTTTAGCGCTCAACGACGAGGTGCAGGCAGTCATGAAGCGGCACAGCCAGCTACAGGGGGCATCTGCTCCTGTCCCGCCTGCAGCAGCAGCAGCAGGGGGAGGGGGAGGGGGAGGGGTGCAGTGGTCGCAGTACGATGGGGAGGGCGACACTGACAGCGAGCCCAGTATTCAGCTCGACAGGCACGGGTGAGTGCGGTGGTAAACCCTGGTGACTGCTGAGAGTTACTCTGTATGCTGGTGCTCCCAGCGTCAACGGCAGCAGGTGGGGGGCAGTGATCACAGTATGATGGATGGGGAGGTGGGCGACACTGACAGCGAGCCCAGCATTCAGCTTGACAGGCATGGGTGAGTGCTAAGCCATGGTGAGTGCTGTAGGTGGCTTGGCTTCGTGTGCTGGTGCTCCCAGTGTCAGGCTGTCAGCAGCAGCAGCAGCAGCAGCAATGGAAGGGGGTGAGGTCGGCAGCAGCAGGGGGGGGGGGGGGGTCGCAGTGTCGCAGTATGATGGATGGGAAGGGGAGGGACACTGACAGCGAGCCCAGCATTCAGCTCGACAGGCACGGGTTAGTGTGCTGGTGAACCCTGGTGACTGCTGAGTGTGGCTCTGTACTCTGGTGCTCCCTGTGTCAACAGCAACAGGGGGGGGGGGGGGGGAGGGAGAGGGGGTGGCAGTGATCACTGAATGATGGATGGGGAGGGGGACACTGACAGCGAGCTCAGCGTTCAGCTCGACAGGCGCGGGTGAATGCAGTGCAGCAGTGCGCCTTGTTGGTAGGTGTTCCCCCCACCCTCCATCCCCCCCCCCCCTCTCCCCCCCTCCTCCGTCCTTTGGTGATTTTTGAGTTGACTCAAAAACCACCCTCCACCACCCCCCCCCCCCCCCCCCCCCCCCTCCTCCGTCCTCTCCATTCTTTCTGCAGTGTGCCATCCGCTTCCCCATCCTCCTCCTCCTCCTGCCCCTCAGCTTCCCCTAATCTAGCTTGACTCTTTCCATCCCCCTTCCTTCCCCCCATGTCCCCCTTTCTAGCTTGACTCCCCCTTACTCCTTCCCTCTTCCTCCCTTCCCCTTCCGCCTTCCTCCCCCCACAGTGCGCCATCAGCTCCCCCAGCCTCCTTCTGCATGCACCCCTCAGCTTCCCCCCAACCTAGCTCGAGTCATTCTTTCTTTCCCCACCTTCCCCCCTTCCCCCCTTCCCCCTTCCCCCTTCCCCCCGTCCCCCCTCCTCCCCCCACAGTGCGCCATCAGCTCCCCCAGCCTCCTCCATCCGCTCCTCAGGTTCCCCCTTCCCCTCCCCCAGCGCTCCCCTCGCCTCCCCCCTGCTCCCCCTTCCCCCTGAGTGGAAACGCTCTGCTACGCCTCATGCCCCCGCTGTTGCTGCTGCTGCTGCTGGGACTGCTGCTGCTTCCCCCGCTGCTGCTGGTGCTTCTGATGCTGCTGCCGATACCGGGGCAATAGGAGCACCTGCAGCAGCTGCTGCAGTGGCAGCAGTTGCAGCAGGAGCAGCGGCAGCGGCAGCAGCAGGGGGGGCAGCAGGGGGAGCAGGGGGAGGAACAGGGGGAGGAGCAGCACCCCCCCATCACCACCCGCCCTATGGTTCTGCCCCTGACTTGCCAGCCATGACCGCCCAAATGAGCCACATGGCCCTCTCCCAAGCCTCCCCAAACGCACACCCCCACCCACATTCCGAACCTGCCTCTCGGGATGTGTCCCCTTACCCGGCTTCCCAAGCCTGGGAAGCAGGTCTGGGCATTCCTCCTCCTCCTGCTGCTGCTGCTGCCTATCGCTCTGTCACTGATATGCTTCTTGCTGAGCTGTCGCCGTCCAATCCGTTTGCACCAAGTGTGCAAGCGTCCACTGCAGGAAATGCTGACTCATCATCAACTCCACCAGCAGCAGCAGCAGCAGCATCAACAGGAGAGTCAGCAGCACCACCACCAGCAGCCGCTCGTGCGTTAGACTTTGGCTCTAGCCCTGCTGTTGCTGGTCCGGATGCTGCTCCTAACGCTGCTTCTGGTGCTAGTTCTGCTGCTGCTGATGCTCCTACTCTTTCCATAGGCTCGGCCCCTAACCCCTTTGGCCCTGTCCCTCCCTCTTTCCCCACTGAGCCCTCTCCCTTTGACTCTGAACCCTCCTTCCAAGCCCTTCCATATAATTCCTCTACCGCCCCCTCCCCTTCCCCTGCTCCCTCCTCCGCCCCATCCCCCTACGGCCCCCAAGCCACCCACCCGTCGCCCCACGCTTACACCTCTCCGTACACTCACACCACGTTACAGTCCCAGCCCCCCTCCACCTCATCCACTCCTGCTGCTGCTGCTGCTGCCTCTGCTCCCGGCTCCGCCCCTCCCCGCCTCCCTTCCTTCCCTGGAGCTCACTCACCCACCGATCCCTTAGGGGGTTCAGGCTCTGTTGCTGCTGGTGGGGGAGGCTTGACTGGTGTAGGTGCGTCTGGCTTCCCTGCTTCTGCCTCTCACCCTTCCTCTGCTGCGCCTAGCTACCAGCCCCAGCCTGGTCAGATGTACCCTCCCCAGTATAACCCAAACCAGCAATCCTGGCAGCAGCAGCTTTCACAGCAGCAGCACCAGCAGCAGCAACAGCAGCAACAGCACCAGCAGCAGTATCCACCTCCACTCTACCCCCAGATGCCAGGTCAGCAGCAGCAACAGGGTTACCAGCAATACCAGCAACCACCCTGGCAGCAGCAGCAGCAGCTGCAGTACCAACAGAATCAGCAGTACCAGCAGCAGCAACATCCAATGGGGGGAATGGGGGGGATGGGGGGAATGGGGGGAGTGAGTGGGGACACCCCTCCGCCCTACCCCATCACCACCCCATCCTACCCTCCCCTTGGTCCCACTCAGAATTTCTCCCCTCTCGCCCTCCCCTCTCCAGCCGTCTCCAACGCCATGCCGCATGCTGCTGCTGTGGCAGCAGGAGCAGGGGGGACGGGCATGGGCACAGGCATGGGTATGGGTATGGGCATGGGCATGGGTATGGGTATGGGTACGGGTATGGGTATGGGTATGGGCATGGGCAACGCTTACCCATCCGTCTCCCCTACGAAGCCTCTTGCTGGTTCGGCAGGAGGTCTGGGAGGAGGTTCGGCAGGAGGCATGGGAGGCACCAGCAGCAGCTTTGGCAGCAGTGCTGGGATGCAGCAGCAGCAGCAGCAGCAGCAGCAGCAGCAGGCGCTGGGCCCTGCTGGGTTGACGCGGCAGCAGCTGGCACGAAACGAGGACCCCATGCTGACCACGTCCATGTTTGCGGATCTCAAGGATATCAACGCCTCTCTCGTGCGCGATATCAGCTCTGCGAAAGGAGGGGTAGGTAGGGGTGGAGGAGGGGTTGCTGGTGGTGCAAGTGCTTCTGGTGGGAGGTAGCAGCAGCCGCGGTAGGAACTTAGGTAGCAGTGGCAGCAGCAGCAGGCAGCAGCTGGTGTGGAACGAGGAGGACCCCATGCTGACCACGTCCATGTTTGCGGATCTCAAGGATATCAATGCCTCTCTCGTTCGCAACATTAGCTCTGCAAAGGGGGAGGGGTGGGTAGAGGTGGTGCCAGCGCTGGTGCAGCTGGTGGGAGGTAACAGCTTAGGCAGGCGCTTTCGTTTGCAGCAGCAGCAGCACCAGTAGCAGCAGCAGGCATCAGCAGCAGCAGCTTGCTGGTGTTGCTGCTGCTGCTGGTACCAGCTCTGGTAGCGGTGCTGCTGGCGGTGGTATGGGAAAGAGTCCATGGGTTATGGGGCTCCTCCCACTACAATGGGTGAGGCAACCGGACGTTGACTGGATTGCGTCACGTGCTGCCAAGAGCCTATTCAGTGTTGAGCAGCTTCCATGGGCATGTAACGCTCACTAGCTGTCCTTTCGTTGTGTGGCATGCTTGCCAGTGATGTGTGTTGGGGCACACTATGGGTGTAGTTTATATTTAGATTGTCCGTAACGCTCTTGTAGACTAATGGTGTGAGATGTCATACTCCGTATTGTAATTGTTGGGCTGAGAAAAGCCCTTGGGATCTTTTGCAGAGACTAAGTCCCAGCTGTAAAGACTTGAGACTTGGGGTAGTGCAGCGGAAGTTGAGGCAGTTGAACCCTTGTACTAGTATGTGAGAACAAGTGATTGATTAAAGAAACAAGCATACAGCAATATATAGAAGATAAGAAAGCAGTTGTAGAATACAGTTACAGGAGCGGTTTATCGAGTCGCACAGCGACTCGATTGCCGCTTCGGTTACCATCCGTGATGTTGTAACGGTCAGTCGCAACCTCCAGTTGCGACCTTTCGAGTCCTTTCGCTTTCTTTGTCTGCCCCCTCGTGTAACCTCCGTTGACTCGCGTGCTCCCCTGTAATCTTCCTCGAGTACAGTGTTACACTTCAGAAACGCTTAAGTCCTTGAGATATTTCCAACACTCCCCTTCGTTTCTGGAGTGCTGGAGTGTTCAGATCCGGTGACGTTTGTTTGCCCGGTTAGGAGCATGCAGTAGTCGAATTTTGCTTTCGCCAATTTCTTCGTCAGATAATCTGCGGCCATTTCTGTCGTCGGGCAGTAACTGAGTTGAAGTCTCCCCTTCGCGATTTCATCCTTGACGAAGAAGTACCGCAGGGCGATGTGCTTGGTTCGGTTGGCGAAGCCGTCCTTGTTCGCGATTTTGATTGCAGATTGGTTGTCGCAGAGGAGTGAGAAGGCGGGCAGGGTCGCGATCTTCGCTTCTTCGAGTAACTCTCGTAGGTAGAGTCCTTCCTTGGTCGCAGTACAAAGGGCGATATACTCTGCTTCAGCCGAGGATAGTGCGATTAACTCCTGCTTGCTCGACTGCCAGGAGATAGTTCCGATAGGTTCTAGTCGGTAGATGTAGCCCGTCCTAGACCGTCGATTTTCGCTGTCTCCCGCGTGGTCGGCGTCGACGTATCCGAGTAGTTGTACGGACGGTGTTGTTGCTTTGCTGTAGGTGAGCCCGATCGTCGGCGTGGAGACGAAGTAGAGTAGCGCTCGATTGAGTTCTTCGAGATCTTCCTGTTGCGGCTGCTTCAGATGTGTCGCCAGCTGACTCGCACTATAGGATAGGTCGGGTCGGCAGGTTACTGCTGCGAATAGTAGGCAGCCGAGCTTCTGTTGATACTCCTGGATTTGTTTCGCGGGGAGTTTTGTGGAGGCGCTACTGTTGTTCCCGTAGCGGTAGGGAGTTGGGACCGCAGTCGGTGCTAGACCGAATTTCTTCGCGACGGTGCTTGAGTACTTTCCAGCGTGTAGGTAGAACGCCGTGTCGTCTTCGACGATGTTCAGTCCTAGGTACTGGGTAACTTCGTCGGACACCGTGAGAGTTAAATCTTCTTTCAGCTCCCCTTCGAACCAGGTGGCGATGTCGATAGTGGAGCCGATGTAGAGCAGGTCGTCGACGTAGACGATGAGCAGAACATAATCTCTTCCCTTCTGCAGTCGGTACATCCCTTGGTCATGCGGTAATTGTAGGAAGCCGATCTTTGCGAGACGGCCGTGGAGATGCTGCTGCCAGAGCCGCGGGGCTTGCTTGATCCCGTATAGGGATTTTGTCAGTCGGCATATTTTCGTGGGATCGTTGATGAATCCGTGGGGTTGTTCGACGAAGATCTCAGCGTCCACAGGTGCGTATAGGAATGCATTCGCGACATCGATTTGGCGTAGTGGCAGTTTTTTCGTGGCCGCGACGGCGAGTAGGATGCGTAATGAGGTGTGACGGGAGACTGGAGCGAAGGTTTCTGTGTAGTCGGCTCCGTATCGTTGGTCGAAGCCTCGTACGACCCATCGAGCTTTGAATCGTTCGATGGAACCGTCTGAGTTGGTCTTGATGCGGTACACCCATTTCCCCGAGAGAACGTTTTTTCCGTTGATGCTCGTTGCAGGTACCAGTTTCCACGTTTCTCGGTCTTGCAGAGCTTTTAACTCCTTTTCCATTGCTTCCTTCCATCTTGCCTTATGTTCCCCCCCCAGAGCCTGCGACAACGTTGAAGGCTCTCGCGGAGAAGGCGGCGGCGGATTCTGGACGGAGACCCAGAGGCCTAGAATCTGGAGTCCCGTGGGCGTGTGTCGAGGGGAATTTTCATTCCCGGAATAAGCTGCTTCGTCACCGTCTTCGGGGTCAGGTAAGAAATTGGGGCCGATGCGGTCCGAAATATTCGTGTCGACGGGGTGAGGTGTAGCGTAACCTTGGTCGGCGAAGTGGTAAAAGGTGTCGAGGTTGTTGCTATCGAGGGGATTATCTTCATCGAGTGGAACAGGTACGGAACAGAATGGGAGTGGTCCGGCAGCTTCCGAGGCTCCAGGTACGTCTTCTTCTGCTGCGTCAGCCTCGGCAGTGTGGTCAGCGAAGGAGCGAAGGCCCGCGAAGCCGTCGGTGGGGTCTTGTGTGTTGGCAAGGTTGTCCAGGTAATGCTGCAGCGTCAGTCGTTCGTAGAAGATAACATCGCGTGATGCCACCGTGTTTTTGTCTTGTATGTCGAGAATTTTCCACGCGTGAAAATGTTTTGCGATGCCGAGGTGTAGTCCCCATCGAGCTCTTTGTGAGAAGCGTCCTGCTCGGGCTGTGTGGGGTCTGTACTGTACCATGCAGCCGAAAACGCGGAGTAATTTTGTGCTGCCCCTTTTTCTTGTCCACAACAGGTGCGGCGATGCGTTGTTGGGAAGTGATGACGAGGACAGCAGGTTGTGCAGGTGAACAGCATGTGTCATCGCGTCTGGCCACAGTGCGTTGGGCAGCCTCATCCCCAGAAGCAGTTTTCGCATCGTCGTCTGCAAGGTCCGGTTCATGCGTTCTGCTACCCCCTGCTGCTGGTGAGCATAGGGCAGAGACACCAGGCGTCGGATTCCCCTTTCCGCGAGATAGGTCCTGAAGCGTTGTGACTGGTATTCCAGTGCACCGTCTGACTGGAAACTCTTGAGTTTGGTTCCTGACTCTCGTTCGGCGATTGGAAGCCATGTGGTGAAGGCCTCGAAGGCTTGATCGCGCGTTTTGAGATTGAAGTGCCAGACGTATCTGGTTGCTGCGTCGATGAACGTGATGACGTAGTTGAAGTCGGCTTCGGTGTCGTCTCGAGGCATGTTTAGAATATCGCTGTAGACCTTTTCCATCGGAGCGTAAGTGGGTGCGCTTGGATTGTGATGGGCTGGGAAAGGTTGATGAGGAAGATCTGCTTCGGGGCATGTGAAACACCGTGCGCGTGGTCGTCGGAGTTCCTGGCCGCTCGTCGTCAGAAGGGCGTTGCGTTCTAACACTTCTGCTTGGATTGTTTGAAGTATCGTGCTGTTTGCAGGATGTCCGAGACGTTGGTGCCAGATGTCGTCGGGAGCGCGGTGACCGGGCGAGCGGTGGTAGATGTCGGCGTTGGAGAAGAACGCGACGACCGAGGCGGGACTTCGACAAGCTTCTCGTGTGGCGGGCATAAGTTGGTCTGCTTCGGTTGGCTGTCCTCGTGTCGCTGGTGGTGGTACTCGGCTGGGTCCTGCTGCCGATACTGCAGGTGATGGTTTTGTTGGGACACATGCGGGTACTTGTCTTTCTTGTCTGATAACTGCTAATGCTCGTGTTCTTTCTGCTGCAGGTATGGTGTTGGAGTGCCAGAAGCCGTCGCTGTCGAAGTCGGGATCAAGATCTGGCGGATGAGTCCAGGCGGCGAAGGATACGATACCGTCGCTGTCGGCAGTTCCGCGGTCGGGGACGAAGTCCAACACGAAGACACCGGACTTCAGGAGGGCACGACCGATGAAGAGACCGCCCTTCCCGTGGTAAAGTCGGAACTCGTTGGAGAAGGAGTCGCACTCCAGGTGAATCCCCTTAGCCATTAGTTGGCTTACGCTTAATAGGTTGTATCCCAGATTGTCGACGATGAGGACCTTGTTGAGCTGAAGAATAACGTTTGTCTCCATTGATTGTAACTGAACCACGCCTTGTCTATTTGTTTTCAGGTTTTCGTTGTTGGCGACGGTGATGACGACGTCACGGTTGAGGCGTCGCTCGTGTTGTACGAAGCGTCCGGAGGAGCACATGTGCTGACCGCAGCAACTGTCCAAGAACCAGGTGTTCCGCCCGGTGGGTTCGGCGTTAGCGACTGCAGCGTATGTCGGGTTGACCTGAAGTCCTTGCGAGCGCGGCGGCGGGAATTCCTCTTCGTCTGGTGCGTAAGTGGGTGGTGAAGCGGGTGCGCAGTTGTCGATGTGTACCATGCAATTGATAATGTTTGGTGTCTGTTGTGCAGATGTTGAAGAGCGCCTTGGGGGACTTGCTTGGGTTGAAGCAACTTGTGGGTCTGCTGGACGGTAAACGCGAGGGCGGTTGCAGTTGACTTTGGAGTGCCCGGAAGTCTGGCAGTTGTGGCAGAACGGCGGTACGATGGTGAGTCCTCGGTTGTCGCGTTGATCTTGCTTGCTGCGTCGGTTGTAGTTGTTGTCATTTCTTCTTTGAGTGTAGAAGACTAACTGCTGTTGCTTCCTTGGTTGTCTTTCTTCGAACAGATCCATCTCCTGTTGTTCAGCGTGAAGCTCGGCGCAGAGGTGCATCTCCGAAATTCTTCCGTGGGCTCGAAGAAGTGATCGTGTGGTTCTCCATTCTGGCCCGAGCCCGGCGAGGACAAGTGTCACGAAGCTTTCTTCAGTGATCGTTCCTCCGCACCGAAGCAGGCGGTCGCGGAGGGTATGGCAGCGACTCATATACTGCATCGCCTTTTCCCCGGTCTTCATCTGTATTGTTGTCAGTTGTTGCATGAGTCTGCTTTGAGTCACGCTGTCGTTTGCTTGATAGAGGCACTTGAGATGATGCCATGCGAGTTCTGCGGAGTTTCCATAACTTCGATACGTTCTGATGCTCTGCTGCTCTTGTGGTGACAGGTTTCTCAGGAGTACCGTATACGCCAGCAGCGACTGATACGTGAAGATTTCTTGTTCCTTCCCAGTGCCGTTGCTTGGGAATGGCAGGGACCCGTTGAAGTATCCCAGAAGATGCGCGGCCTCCATCAGCAGCTCGAACTCGAAGCTCCAGGTAAAGAAGTCGTGTCCGTTGAACGGTGAGGATGTCTGAAGTTTAATTACGTGTGAGAA